GTCATACACCTCTAGTCGAAATAAAAGATCTGGATAAAACTCACCGCTCCACGTAGTCCAGGTGTGGCTGTCCTGAGTGGTAACAAATGGACTTCAGTAAGGAGAAAAAGAAATGGGAAGAAAAAAACTGTGGGCGAAACGCAGCTGGTCAACAAGGCATCGGAAGGGACGTTATCAGACGAAAAATCCCCACTGCTTGACAAGACAGATCTCTCTGAGAGATCAGTCATTTTCCTTAAGATAAGAGAATCTCCAGATAAAGAACCAAAGGCGAGATTTGAGCACGATCTCAATCATATTAAGACATCATTAAGTACTCCCAGCAACACTTTCAGGAGTCAGTATTTGTAAGCTTTATAGAATAGGAAAAAAGGTGGATTCCAAAAGTCCTCAGAAAGACCGCCTCCTGAAGGTTACATTCAACACGGTGGAAGAAAGGAACTTGATTCTAAGTAATTCACGTAAACTGATAGGATCCGGAATATATGTCCGTCAGGATCTCAGCCTAACTGATCGTATTAAGAAACGAGCTGCAGAACCTGAAATAAATGAACGTCGCCAAAACGGGGAACGAAACTTTGTTCTTAAGGGTTTTCAAGTTGTAAACGTTCGGAGCAAAACGATCCCCAAGCCACTCTGGGTGGCAAGGGAAAGATCTTCACAGACTTAAAGGTATGCTACACAAATCCTCGCAGCCTACTAAATAAAATGGCGGAGCTCAAGTCAGTGGTGGTTAAAGAAAAACCAGACGTTATTGCTGTCTCGTAAACTTGGTTAACGTCAGAAGTATTAGACAGTGAAATCCAGTTAACTGGTTTCATAACCAGTAGGGCTGATAGAATAAACTATAGGAGAGGCGGGGTTATTCTGTACACGGAAAGTACCACAACTATAAGATTAGATGAGACAGTAACACATGTCTCAGCGACATGTGAACTGGTGAGATGTAAGTTGAAATGCCGACGGCAAGATATTGAATTAGTTGTAGTATATCGCAGTCCAGAATGTGTAGCAGGTGATTTTATCCCAAGTAAACTTAAGTCTTGGTGTAACAACGGTAAAAGTCTTGTATTAGGCGACTTTAATGCACCATATATAAACTGAGTTAACTTAGAAGTAGGGTCATCCATATCGTCGTTCGACTGTAAACTGTTAGAAATATCGATTGGATTAGCATTATTCCAACACATTAGAGATCCCGCAAGATACGACTTAAGAAACTCTACCTCTCTTTTAGATTTAGTTTTCACACACGGTGATGATGTTGGTCAAATGGCTTTTCTCCCACCACTCGGGAGAAGTGACCATGCACTCATCTTATTCAAATTCATGGCTGAGATTGCCTGTCAAACAGTTGCACCGGCCCGTCCCAACATATGGGAGGCAGATATGCAAACAATTAACTCCTCAGCATCGGCTGAAAACTGGGAAATCGACTCAAAGGCATCAGTACAAGAGGCATGGACTCTATTCAGGCAGTTATACAATCGGGTAACTCAACCATACATACCCTGGACTGTCCCAAAGAAAAATAAGCACGGACATCCTTGGATAGGGCGGGATATTCGACGTTTACTGAGACAAAAAAAGAAATGCTGGGACGTTGCCATCCGCCTTGACACAGCAGGTACAATGGGACGCTACAGATCGATAAGAAACGAGTGCATAATGAAAATTCGGGAAGCTCAAAGAAAATATGAAATGCAGCTGGCACAATCTGCACTCAAACAGCCCAAGAGAATATACTCGTACATAAACATGGATGTTGATCTACTAAGGCCGATCATACAAAGCTCAAAATTCGGCCACGAAATCTTGTGAGTTTCTTAATGTTTTATTTGTCTTACCCTGAAATCTTTTTTTCTACAATTTTATACCCTCTCATATCTTTTGATTTGCTATTAGTCCTTACTTCTTTAAACCATTAGTCATTTTCATAGCAGTGTAATATACTATATGGACATCTAACCCATAAAACAGACTTTTCAACTATCTGATTTGCTTGTAACATGTACCTAGTAGAGACAGTGTATTCCAACTATGGGCTTTGATCAAAGCAGTATTCATACTTACCACAAACGTAAGAGAGCCTAACATCACGAAAGGAGGGAGGGTGGCGTTACTGACCAGCAAACATGATGTTGGGGAGATAAATTCAATCCACCCATGTTTGTAGGGCAGAACATTTTGTTTAATTACGGCTCCTTATGGTTTAGTGGGATGTCACGGACTTATGGAATTGATGCTGACTTATCACGCAAAATACCTCTTTAAATCGCGTTACGAATGTTGAATTGGTTTAACTTCCTACCCAGAAATTCTATTACAAGCAAACCAGACAATTCGCTAATATACGAAGCCTACTCAAGACCCTATAATATTTGAAAAAAATAATAATACAAAAAAAACGAAACGGGCTCTGATAGCTTCGATAATAAAAGGAAGATAGCCAAATGTATATCACAATACTGTTTCTAGCACTATATTTCATTTTATAACCACACGTAATCCCATACTCTCAGCTCCCTTCCGAATTGCCTCCATTTGTCAATTGTATGTCCACTCACATCTTGTTAACACTTATTTTCTTTTACCTATTAAAATGCTCTTTCTTAACAAATACCTTAATAAAAGAAAATTAGACTGAGTAATCATACCTTAAACATTCCTTTATGAATATTGGCTACTCTGCCTCTCGTCCTTTCTTTTACTTGCTCCCTCTTTCAGCCCCCTTGTGATATTGAACGAAAGATTTCATCCTGCACCATCCTCAAATCCTTAGACATTCCAAAGGGACATAAGGTTGCGACATTTAGAAGATCCCACCTTCAATGGACCTGTCCTTGACCATCAGTCGCGAATTTGAAACGCAACTTTCATGAAGCGCGCCAACTGTAGTACTGATTAAAACCATCTACATTCATATCTTATAAATTATCAACCCAGCTATGTAATTTATTGCAGTGTATATTGTATCATTTGTATCAATTAGATCTTGCCTGTAAACTGGCATGCCTCATGTAACAAACTGTTATTTGAGATCATATTTGTATCAATAAAAAATTCCGAAGGACAATGGAAGATGTGAGAACCAGGAGAGGAGGTGACATGGCTTCAGACCACCACCTACTTGTGACCAATTTAAAACTGAAGCTAAAGAAGAACTAGACAGCTGGACAAACAGCATTACAAATGTTCAATACAGCCTTCTTTCGAGATACTGACAAACTCGATGAATTCAAGATAGCTTTCAATAACAGGTTCCAAGCTTTACAGGACCTACTGAAGGAAGGAGAAGTTACTATGGAGGACAACTAGAAAAGTATTAAAGAAGCATTAATCTCAACGTCTCAAGAGGTTCTGGGTCTCGATAAGCACCATCATAAGGAATGGATTTCTATTGAAACCCTGGACAAGATTCGAGAAAGGAAGAACAAGATAGCAATTAACAACAGCTGAACAAGAACAGAGGAGAAGTCAACAGGACCAGATGAACTACACCCCAAAATCTTTAGACATATTGCCCAGTATATCGCGGCCCCACTGACTGTGATATTCAATATATCACTTGATCAAGGTATGTTACCTATGGACTGGAAGGACGCAATCGTCACTTTCATACATAAAACAGGTCCACGACAAGTTCCATCGAATTACAGACCCGTTAGCCTCACCAGTGTTGTAATTAAAATACTGGAAAGAATAATCAAACGGACCATAACGGCATTTATGGAAACAAATAACTTGCTAAACATGGCACAACATGGTTTTAGAAAGGGCCTATTATGTACAACGAACCTCCTTATAGCCAGGGAGCTCTGGATTAATGCGCTAGACAACGGAAACTCAGTGGATGTTGTCTATATAGACTTCAGTAAGGCTTTTGACAAGGTGCCAACTAATAGACTGCTATTGAAGTTGGCAAAACCTGGTATTGCCGGACCTCTTTTAAAATGGATTAAGGATTTCCTAGTAGGTTGTAGGCAAAAAATAAGAATAAATTCCAAGTGCTCCATCTGGAGACCAGTACTTAGTGGGGTACCTCAAGGTTCAGTCCTAGATCCTTTACTTTTTATAATGTACGTTAATGATCTTACAAGTATAGTACAGTCTCCAATGTTATTATACGCTGACGATGTAAAAATTTGGCGAGTAATAACTGGAGACAAAGACGCATTTACTCTTCAGGCGGACTTAAATAATATGATAAACTGGTCTAAAGAGTGGCTGATTCCTGTCAACTCGGAAAAGTGTGTCTACATGCACTTAGGAGATTCAGAGGTTAATAAGTACAACATGGGGATGTGTCATTACCCGTAGTCCGGTCTCATAAGGATCTAAGGGTGACAGTGAGTAATGATCTAAAGATGACGTCCCATTGCCGGGAGATCGCGGCCAAGGGGTTTCGAACCCTCTGGCCTTTAAAAAGGACATTTACTAAGTTAGATACTGCCACGTTCACCAATGTATACACATCCTTAGTGAGAACTAAGCTAGAGAACTGCTCTCAGGCTGCAAGCCCCTGTTCAAAAGGTGATTCGGACATACTAGAAAAAGTACAGAGGGCAGCTACCTGTGCGATTCCGGAACTCCGGGGTTTATCATACAAAGAGCGGCTCGAAAAACTGGACCTCTTTACTCTGTCCTACCGCAGACTAAGTGGAGATCTAATTTTGATGTACAGAATATTGAGAAATGATTTCGGACCTAACTTGTTCTCTCTCTTTCTTCCCACTAGATCGAGACACCTTAGAGGACATAGCAGGGGAGTAGAAAAGCAAAGAACGAACAAAATACCTGTGGCATACAGGTTTTCACACAGCGTCATCAATACTTGGATCCTACTGCCTGAAGCAGTGGTGTCCGCACCTTCAATTGACTCTTTCAAGAGAAGACTGGATACTCACAGAAGCATACTAGAAAAGGAATAAAATAGACCGTAGGCCCTCTGTTCTTACTACACAAATCTGAATCTTTAGTCCGGCTCTCAAGGTCGTTGGAATGAAACAGCGGACAGATTTGAACGAGATTTGAATGTGACATTGGTCACTTCTCAACGTAGGTGTGAAGGATTTTGTTTGACTGACATTATCATCGTGTTCAAAGACAAAGTAATATTTGGTGGTACCTCTGGTAATTTCATTGTGCTTTCACGAGTTCCTTACAACTTGTATCGTCTTAAGGATACTATTACAATAGTACACAGTTGAGCCTAGCTGAAAGTTCTTCTGAACATACATCGGCTTAGTATAGCAAGGATGCGAATGAAGTTGAATGAGTCGAAGACACTACAGGACTGATAGCTAAATAAGATCAAGGCTGGAAGCTACCACTGGAGTTCAACCATTAATTATTGTGAGGGAACGCCAATAAGTGAGTAAAACAACTGACCCTTAGTACGATTAAGAATTATGTGGAAAAGGTCTAAAATAGTGTGATATACGTCGAGATACAGTTAGACAAGCTTTTATAGTGCGTGCTACTAAGGCAGGAAAAATTAACAACTATTCTCCTTTTACAAAATTGTTCAAGCTACTGAAGACTCAGAAATCGCTGCGGCAAGCTAACAAAGACTCTCTTATTACTGACAACAGTACAGTTGGCACGTGCCTATAAATTACAATGTAGCTCGATACAAGTAGTAACTGTCCATACGATCCATGGGTGATGCGTAGTACTGCATGTTTTTTTCCACTAACGTACTGACCTTACAAATGTTTGTTAGAAGCTTACCTATCTAGTGCGCACCTCATCATCAAGCACTGTGAATTGTACTGGTCGGTTTTCCTCCTGATATCACCGGTTTTCCATTTTTTTTTCTACCCACCCTTTGGTTTTTGCTACTTTTTACGGAATCTTTGATGCTTTAGGTTTAAGTACGTCAATGCTACAAGATAGTATTTGAAGTTTATGAACTATTTGCACTGAATGGAGACGACTCTCGGTTCCGTCCGGGTTAGTTCACACGCTGGAAGCTGGTATACTGCAGACAGTTAAGCGACTATTAGCAAGACAATTACTAATCATAATTAGGAACAGAGTTGTCATCACAGTTAAACACTTGGTTGGAAAGTTGTGAAAAGAACGTCTCAAATGCAAATTCAGTCCGGGCAATCATAGTACCGTATGATATTATTTTTACTAATAAAAGTATCAAGTCATGCAGGTTACCGATATTCTGGTTTATGTGCGGCCCACGCATACCGTCTAATAAATCCTGACAAAATGTAAGTGATGCTTTAATTATATGTTTCTTCAAAGAGAATGTGTTTTTATCATAGGTCCTTCACATCGTTTAGATATTGGGAATACATGTGCTCTGACTTCTGTATCTGAATATGAAACTCCGTTTTATAACTTAAAGATTAATACCAATGGTAAGCGGAGATAATCTAATACCTTCTTAAGTATACAACAGCCTTAAAAAGTTCAACTGCTTCAGCGTTCTCGAAAAGAGTCAGGACGAAGCTGAACATTCTGTAGAAATGCAGTTACCGTATATTGCTCACATCATGAAACGGTAAGCTTTTGCGTGTGGTGATTTTCTAGACTTAAATACCTTTAACAACTTAGCGAGATCATAAGACATACCAAGCATTTATCCAAGTGGTTTATATGAAATTTGTTCACAACGGATACGTCAAATAGTAGATCCTGTGTAATTTATACAAGAAACACTCTTGAAGACCCCAGTCCACATTCATATTCACGGATATCCCTTCATTTGCACTAGGGATACTGAATCCGCAAATACTGTATGTATGAGATAATCAGTTTTAGAATTCATAAATTGGTTTAAAGCAAACTTCGCCCACCCAATTTTATTCAGTATAAAGTTCGTTATTCTGTTTTCGATGTATCTTCGTTGTATTGATTTGTATTCGGTGACAGTTTCTTCTTTTATAAATGATAGTCACTTTTAGACGGCATAACTGGTTAACTAAGCTTTCCGCTTTTGAAATGCTTTTTCGTTTCTATCGAAATCATATTTTGATTTCGAAACCGCTAAGGTGATACACAGAAATATTAGGCAGCAAACGATATAGTGACAGCAGACATAATATCCTGTAAACTTAAAAATTAATTATACTGGTAGAAAATATCCAGTGTTTTGGTGACAATGCGCTTTCCTACATTCTAATACTAAATAGTCAGATCATTGTGATAATCGGTGACATCCTAGTTTAACACTGGAACCAATGGTTATCAGACATGCTATCGTGTCTAGATTACAGTTTGGTAAGTACCTTAATGTATTTTTTTTGCCAACATCTTGAGGTTTAATACAAATAATGTCTACTTTTACTTTTACTTTGAAGTAGAAAAGATCAGTACTCCATAGTCCCCATAGTTGTCGGTTGCTTATCATTCGAAAAACAAGAATTCTTCGGGAACCTCCTATCGAGCTATATGCTAGATGAGAAGAATCTCTTTGTGATATCTTCTGATTTCTGTCATTGGGGTTTGTTACATTTTCCACGCAATATTTTTGTGTTTATTTGAAGCAGTATACATAATGGTTAATTTGACTGAGAGTGATGGTAACTTGCGGTATTCCTTTACGTAGTTTCGTCCGTTTTTCTAAGCAATCGTTGATGATTCATCATGTTAACCTTGGTTACGAAATTCTATGGTCACCTAAACACTTTTCCAAGCAGCATTTATAATACTTCGGTAATTATCTAGCCTTGTTTAAATGTGCATTTTATGCTAGAATCTTTTAAATGAATATACGAGGACATCATGAGTGCTCGTTTTACGCGCTTACTGTCGAAAATATATACACATGGTCAAAGTCGAACAACAAGTCACGAAATTCACTCTCAGCGATGATTAGTATGATTCAAAATGATACCCACAGTCAGTAAACTAATCACTCGTATGCTTTATTTCCAGGGAAACGATTTCGATATCAGTATTACAATAAATCCGATGGTGCAATATGGCAGTCTATTGAGAAACTCGATCACCTTGTAAGTGGCTGCAGTATTTTTATTTTCACATTGTATCTTTCTCAACTGTAATTAAATCTAATGTTATATTTCATAGGGTTTAAATGCGATTCGAAGCCTGAAACCGAAATCATTCATAAAATATCTTGAAGAGTACAGGAACACTATATGTGGCAGGAGAAGTATAGGCGTGCTGTTATTTATGATTGACTGTATTCAACAGAAGCAACCGTTTAACCTGGAACTTAAAATCCTAAACTATACACAATCCAACCGCTGCCAGTCAATGGAAGATTCATCAGTGAGTTACACTGCATGTGCTCTAGTCAGCCGTGAGTAAATATATAAGAGAATCCGTAAGAAAAAAGTGTTATGTATTGAAGTAAAATTAACAATCCCTAAAGTTGTGATTTTCACTTTAATGTAAACATCGATACACATATTATAATATGCAAGAAAAGTTACTTATATCAAGATATTTGTAGCACACCAGCTGCATAACTGACAGATGATTGGTTCATATTATGACAGTGTTCTGATTGGGCATATCGTACAAACTTCATGTTAAAATTGTTATTGGGCATATTCCTGCGTAAATACGTAACGATTTGCAGTAGTACACCTATCGGGTGTCGTCCGCATATGGTGTTACCATATTGCTCTAAGTAACTTGTAAATTCAGAAGGAGCAAGTCGCTCAATTAACTCCATCCCCTATAAGTTTAAAAGATCGAAAATAATGCATTTAATTACTCTTAAAAACACATATCTCGAAGTTAGTGCTCAGATGACGCAACAAACAAACTGCTGTGCAATTCGCCCGTTCTTACTAGAAATCGGGGTGTCTTATTGACACTATCACCTGTGTTAGGATGGTGGATACTATATGGGCTTCTACTTTCTCAGTCACAGTTCAGCAGGAAGCGAAGCATCTAGAACTCCACTAAAATGGAAGAATCAACGCACTGAATCAGTTCAAATTTAATGAACTGGCGTTTGACAGCTTGCGTCACTTCTCGTACAGACGAGATATTTGTCTGTCAACCAAAAAACGGGTGTACTGTATGGCAGTTCGTTCTGCTCTACTTTATGGCTGAGGAAAGTGACCTTTAAAAGTAGAGGATATCTGAAGGTTTCTCAGTATTTAATCATAGGTGTATTCGAGGCATCATTCTTATATTTTAGAACCACCGAATTAGCAATTGTGAAGATACCAGGTAAAAATGGTAAAGTGAATCTCCATTGAGTGCGACAGAACAACTATTACGTACACCTACCCATTGATTGCCCGGACTTGCGATGATAGTCGGGGTAGAAGTAGGTTCAAAGTAATATAAGGACCAAAACATGTCATCAGTATACTGACTAACGCAGGTGAATGCAGACTACCCAGTTGGGGTCCGCGTGATTATCGTAACTTATGGTCATGGATTCAAAATTATTGACAATGGTACACGATCCGTTCATTGTTTTTCCTTAGATTTCAAGTTTTTACATTACTTTATTACATTGGCCCATATTTATTCACGTATCGTCTCTTCAACCCTCAGTCTTTCTTATAACCACTAATACTTGCTACATCTATTACTCTGGGATTCGTCCTGACAATTTTATCTCGCTATGCAAATGGAAGGGAGTAACAAGTTGAATCGATATACAAATGTGCCAGGTATTGATTTGCGTACTATAATGAGTCATTTACAAACCATCAACTTGCCTACGACAGATGTGATAGATAGAAAAATGATTTGCATTGTTAGATGATTTCTAGGTTGAGGTCTATGTATCAACAAGGCCACACAGTATCTCTATGACAGAAATGTTTTCAGAAAACTACAGAATAACACTATATTATTATCGTTCCAGGTAACACCAAATGATCCGAATTCGTCAATGTATTAAAGGACAGTAGAAAACTAAAGGGTCTACGGCAGTCATATTGTTGGCAACAGTAGAAAATTGTGTTTCGACAGTAAAACAAAAGGAAGTCTAGATATTAGTTTTGGATAGTAATGAAAATTATCATGTAGCTAAGGTCTTCCCAGAGTAAAGCCGAATCATTTGTGGCAACCACAACCTCTGACTCTATCATATAATTAATGGCAATCCATTGATGTTATACATACTTTTGGACAATGAGTATATGTAAATTAGATTTTAAATCTGGATTGGGACGGTGCGAATGCTTTTTTCCTGCTAGTGGTACGGTGAAGTGTTGCATCCTTGATGGCTCTTGATCAGAATTACTAGACACGAATCCACCAATGCAAGCCGGTTTACCATTCGGAGACCGAGTATACTTTTCGCTTATAAATCAAAGATAAGGTTTAACCAATAATACTGGCTGTCAGCAATTAACCTTGAGTAGTGACTCCGATAATTCTTAACGTCTGTTGGCCTAAAAAGCACAATTTCCCATTATTGAATCCGTAGAACACAATAAGCAGACAACCCTCTATTATATGTAAACCAATCGTCAGTTTATATACACGGATTAGCAGATGCAAAAAAACTAGGTAGAAAATCCTAGTTTACCTACAACCAACTTGAAAAAAGAGAGGAATAATAATAACAACTTGAATACATCAGAAGCTTAGAATGCGAAGACATAATATAAAGTAATGGTAAGAGGATATATGCAAAAGTTCCCTGTAAAATAAAGCAAAATCTACTTTTCCAATACCACCTCTAATTTAAGGAGAAATCAGTTAGTTTAATGGTGTCGTTTATATCGTGATACCAAATAATCGCGTGTCTAGATAACCCCCTTTCAAACTTCGGTATGTGGACTGCAATGAACGGACTTTGCATATAACTGGATACGTAAGTAGGGATCGAGAAAGGTGTCTGATGTCATATTTCGCGTTTTTTAAATGCAAATAACGAGAAACTGGCCTAAAGAATAGGGTAGGTGGAGATTGACTTAGTGAACGTTACTTGCATGAATCTACCCAACTGTCGTTACTTGACGTTGTTACTGACAACGTTAAGTCATTAATCTACTCACAATCTTAAAACATAGGTAACTCACCGTTTCATCAAGTGCTTGTATAGATTGCCAGATTGCTCCTTTACTTTGATCATAGTAAGTGTATTGAAACCTTTTTCCTGCAGGTAAGAAACAAATTAGTACTTGACGATTGTCTGGAGAAATCACTTTATATTCATGTTAGATTGTTTCTCATCACATTGCTTGATTTCAATTAAAACATCCCTATGAAAGTTACTTTAAAATCTATTACAGATGTAAAGATTTCGAGAAATGCAGTAACAACCAGCTATACTACATGATTACACTGAATTTAAGATACAAACAAATTAGGACCTGTTTGATAGTCTAAGATACTACTATTCGTTGTGGCGGAAAGTAATATCTGAAAAATGAGTCATCGATCCAATTTATCTATCTGTGTAGCATCTAGTGCAGTGCTTCCCTAAGAGAACCACATGATAACACAAATAGGTAAGGATAGTAAGAGATAGAATCCAAATAAGGCAACAATATTGATAATTATCATTTCTTATGAAAGAAGACTACAAATAGAGTTAGCAAGACTGATTTATCACCACACATAATTGTTAAGAACATTTATACACAGACATAATAAGTCAACTACTAAAGCTTATCGAAGCCTTTGCCGTATGAAAATCCGAACCTTTATTTTCACCTTAAACCTACCTTGCTAATACTAGTTTATTATACAGTGCGGTGAGCATCATATTGTTCTTAACATTATTTTCTTTCCTATATTTGTTTCCTCTTACCCTCCACTTGTCTAGTCGACCTTTCATTTTTGTATATAAATGTTCCTAACAAATATGTGTGGTCAGATTGTCCAAAATGTGTTGCGCCAATATATCACAGTTCTGATAGTCTTCTTACTACACGACCCAAACTTGAGTGAATTGAACTAACAGTTAATCAATCAGGAAAATCAGTAAGTGAACTGGCTTGACTGAGATGCGCGACTCATCTATAAACTACGTATTCGTGCTTTTCATGACAGGCGTGTTTGGTAACTTTTCTATTCTTATTTACTTACACCGGTTACCCGTCGTGAAGGAGCGTAGGCCGCCCACAAGGATTCTTTACCGAACTCTATCTTGAACAGTCCTTTTCAGTTGCTATTCATTCTCTTGATGTATGCTTCCAATTTTCGGCACAATGAGCTCCTTGGTCTTTATCTTTTCTGTTTCCCCTCAGAATCCCAAGTTAGCGCTTGCCTCGTGAGGCAGTCTGATGATTTCTCCAATGTATGCCTTGTCCACTTCCAGCTTCTTTGACTAGTTCCCTCACCAGCTAGGAGCTGGTCTGTTCCCTCCCACAATAGATTGTTGCTGATGATATCCAGCCAACGAACATTGAGTAGACAATTGCATATAAATACTTGTACTTTTTTGATGATAGTTGTGGTAGTTCTCTAAGTTTCAACTCCGTACAGTAGAACTGTCTTGACGCTCATATTGAAGATTCTGACTTTGATATTGGTTCAGTTGTTTTGAGTTCCATATGTTCTTCAACTGTGGGAATCCCGCCCTTACTTTGCTAATCTTTGTCTCCACATTTGCATCAGATCCCCCTCGTTTATCGAAGATGCTGTCCAGCTACGCGAAAGTTTATACATCTTCCACAGTTTCTCCATCGAGTGTTCTTCGTGTTGTGTTTAAGGATCTTGGTTTTTCCCTTGTGTATGTTGAGGTGTACTGATGAACTGCTGCTACACAGTTTGTCTTGACCTGTATTTGTTCTCGTGTGTGGGGTAAAAGGGCTGGGTTATCTGAAAAGTCCAAACCATCTAGGTGCACGCAAGCTGTACATTGGGTTTTGTGCTTCCCATGAGATGTGGAGGCTTTCATAATCCAGTCAACTACCAGAAGAAAGGGAAGGAGAGAGAAAATATTTTTGACAACAGCCTCAACTTGGAAAGCGTCTGTCATTTGCCGCCCACCCACAAATTTTCAGTGTAGTCCAACATATGAATCCCGAGTGATGTTGATGACCTTTTCAGGTACACCATAGTGTCGAAGAAGACTTCATAATATCCTCCTATCCACGCTGTCAAACGCATTCTCATAGTCAAGGAAGTTGATGTATAGTTACAAATTCCATGCAGTCAATTGATCAACAATGATCCGTAATGTCACGGTATGGTTTGTGCATGACTTATCCTTACGGAATCCGGCTTGTTGATATCGAATCTCGGCGTACACTGAGTCTTTCATTTCATTCAGCAACACTCTGGTGAAAAGTTCCTGGTGCTGATAATAGTGTGAAGCCTCTGTAAATTGCAGTTTTTGAGATTTCCTTTCTTTGTATCTTGATGAGGTGTCCTTCTTTTTAGTTTGTCGGCACTTGTTCCTTCTACATCTCCCTGAAAAGGACGTGGAGAATGTTTGCAGTTGCTTTTATGTCTGATTTCAGTGCTTGAGCTTGTGTATTGTCAGGTACCTTCTCCCCACTCTTGATTTCTGTGGTGGCCATGCTGATTTCTTCGATCGTTAGTGAAATGAAAGCTATAAGAAGGTCTGTGTGTGCTGCTTTTATGTGCGGTGGATTCAGTGGGTCTGGTCTATTTAAGAGTTCTTCAGTGTTCTACCCACCGAATGAAAAATCCTGTAAAGCACCGGTCATGGAGTTGCGGCTTACTAACAAATGGTAGCACAACGTGACTTTCGTTATGTGGTTTCATATTACAAGCAGACTAAATACGTACTCCCTTTTAACCAGTTTTTGTTCCCAGCATGAACCTCACGGAAATTAGTACCTGGAGATGACCTTACTCACAATATGGTCTTTATCATCTCAAAACATTTTTAGATATCAACACCACTTTTACAATGATGGACCTGGACACGATGTATTTGCTAGTGGTCGAGCAAACTAAAAACCTACAGAACATTTTAAGCTAAAAGACTAAATTTCACAAATTATAGGAACTTCCTAAGTTGCGCTATCGTACACCCGACCTTTTGCACTAAAACTGATGATACCAAGAGATACCTAAATTCCCCTATGCGAATCGAAAGGAATCACAATATCAATATCTACAATACGTATTGTAGTCCACGAACTTGTAGAGGGGATGACGTAATTAATGACACTATTTAGAAGGAAATTGGCCCGCTACTAGTATGCTACTTTACACCTGTCTATATAACCTGTTCAGTAAAACGACACTTGTTTAGAATTCACAAGTAGTGGGCTTCTTAACTAAATAAATAAACTAAAAAAATAAATTGGTAGTTATGCCAGTCGAAAATCTTGACGGGAAACACATACTTTGCTGAATCATTTTGAAATTGACAAAGCTTTGCCTAACATGCCTTCGAACAGGTCTTACAGGGGTTCTGAGTCTCAAGTGAAACAGTCTAGTGAGACATCACGGTTTCGTGATTAGTGTTAAATACATATTAAAAAAATCTGATTCTAACACTCAATTGATGAAAGCTTAAAGTATTTTCTATAGGATAGTTACATTAAAAATACCAGCAATAATACTTGGTTAGGCATTAAATTAGCAAAATACATAAGAACACTAAAATACGGCAAAATTTAACATACCCCAGTGACAAAAATCAGAAGATATCACAAAGAAGTTCTCCGAATTTGATAGGTATCGAGAGAAAATCTGGCCATACACTGCTTCCCTTTCTGGAGTCAAATATCCTACCAAAATTGGTACTACAGAGAATTTGCCTTGGTAACTAGAACACCAAGTAAAATAAGATTTCGAGAGAAACGACAGCATAACAGCTTGAATTTGAGTGAAAATTGACGTATAAAGTAGTATATAAAGTGTTTTCTGTAAATGCCATGAGTTCTGGTCTGTTGGCTGCTTTATAATATTAAGTTGGTGAAATTGAAGGTATGAATGTACAAATGAACACGACGAATAAAGATACCAAAATCGAACGGCACGCGATAACTTTCAGTGTACCGAGATTTCCTATTACAGAGTAGTTTATTTTGATTGTCTTCAAAATTCGTTTCGGAACTGTATGTTGCAAAGTGCAGAGTAGTGGAGGTTTTAAATAAAATGTGTTTAAGTCATTCGGAGTAGGAAAAACATTTAAATTTATTTAAACAAACATTCGCACAATTGTATTTGCATCTAATTTGATCAACATTTGCCTGAGCTTAGTCAGTCAGTAACAACGTAGAACTTCGTACGTACGTACATCAGTTCGAGTTGACACCACATTAGCACAGAGATGCAGTGGTCGATTCAAATCCCGTAGTGGTAGAGGTAATAAGAGTATAGGCAGTAATCGGAAAGATTAGTGTTTGGAGATGTTACTTAAAGAGTATAATACAGTGAAATAAACTTGGGAAGAGAAAGAGACTAGGGGGAATCAGATCAAAATTTAGGAGAACATAAAGAGTGGATGCACCTGCGCCATTGCAAACGATTTAGAGCCATGTCATTCAGGGTCTCTAACTAAGGTTGGTATCATCTCGCGGTCCCCAACCAGGTAGTCTACACCTACCGACATGACTCAGACCACTTGTCAGTGACTTCATGGACTTGTGTCATGTTTTGGTCTGGCCGCCCCTAACTTTCTTCCAACCTACTCCTATACCACTGAACATCACACGTCGAGGCAGTCGGTCGTTGGGCATACGTAACACGTGTCCCAGCCATCTCAACTGGTGAAGTTTCACCACTTCATCAATTGATTTGCCATCCTTACCTAGTACCCGTTTCCTAACAACTGCATTACTTACTCGATGGTCCCAGGATATGCGAGCAATATTTCGAAGACACCTATGATCAAATACTAGTAGTCTACGAATATCCTCTACTCTTACCGGCCATGTTTCACTGCCATAAAACAGGACGGAACGAACTGCTGCGCAGTAAACCCGTCCTTTGGTTGATAGACGGATATCTCGCCTACGCCATAAATGACGCAAGTTAACAAAAGCTAGTCGAGCCTTAGTGTGAAGATACAAAAAAAGTTATAAGATCAAAGTTAGGGTAACAAGTCTTATGCACAATAGGAACACCAAATTAAGGCAAGCGAATAGGAAGATAACAATTATAACACCTAAAAAAGCAACTGAAATCCATAGTACAAGGTTAGTGGGAATTAGCTTGTTTTTAACATAATGCTATTAATATGGACATCTCTAGTTTGCACCATTAGAACTTTACTAAAACTAAGATTGATCCCGAACCTCAACAAAATATTTACCAACATTTTCCTGTCAGCGAAAATATTTGGATTACAATCAACGGCACTCAGTGCCTAAAGAGTATGAAGATCCACACCAACCGAGTCAATCAGATATAAGCAAAATGGAATACAGATTGACATAATTTAGAAGGCTTAGCTACCACATGTATTTTAAAATGTGGTTTTGGTCATGAGACTGTGGTCTTTACAGTTACAAAGCAGTTTGTAAAACGGGTTTATAGTTCCAATTTTGTATAAAAAACAGGAAGGGATTTAGTGCAGAAACATACAGCCAAACCGGTCAACATGGTGACTCTAAAGGACTAGTAGTATTCGGACCCCATGATCTTAAATAAAAGTAAGACTAATAAAAATATGCCCTTATGGCCAAATACACCTTGGAAGTCTCATTAAAGGTGAAACTTCCTAAAAACTCATAAACTAAGCCAACAATTGTTATGACTGGCTGTTCGAAAACTGACTACATGAGGAATCACGACATTGTTTTTATTATGTACACTTACCATTGGCTTTACCGGTCCCCAATGTTTTGACTCAAACTCCTAGTAATAATAATTCGTTTCTACATTCAGTTCATTATAAGCCTTCATAACAACAAGAGACAACAATTTAAAAACTATTTATAAAATACCTTGATTATACATTTACTTAAAAATTAATATGGACTAAATAAAGATTTAACGGGAAGTTACCCTTCCATCATTTTTGCAATATATGGCATTTGCATTTCTATGGAATGCTCTTCTTCGTCCTTGTCCAAAGTGAGACTAACAAACTCCCCTGTTTTTTCGAGGTCTCGATATACTAAAAGAGAAATTAGTACACAGCCCTGAAAGTATTTACTTACCATCTCTACCAATTGACAAGGAGTACAACGGAGTCTCGAAGAAGTCCGCTGTGGATAGAGCGCATTTTCCTCTGAGGCTCATATAGTGTGCAGGACCTAATACGAAAATACGTTTACTGGGCAAAGCTATTTGTATATATGCAGTTTACATGTGACGAGGGTCTATTTGTTTATACGCAAACGCAGCACAAGGCCCCGAATAGTCATAACCCGCATGTCTATAATATATCACGTCAAAATAAGTGGTTCATATACGGTGAAATGATAGCACGGGCTGGTTGTCGATCAACAGTTACTTCAGACAACCACTTCTGCAACTGGTTGTTGAGTTTAGTACCTGAAAACCATCAAGAAACTTTAACAGAAAACGATTTCATACGGTCTGCAGAATACCAACTACCAGCGTGAGAAGCTCTTCTAACGACAGGACTCATCTGAGGGTTTACTGTAGCCAGAAGTACCGAACTGTTTCAAAAACGCTCGTTAGTTTGCACATAAGTCCAATAGATTCCGTTTGTGTAGTATGGACAGAAGAATTACGGCCTGTATTATTCCTTTCCTAGTATGTTTCAGTGAGTTTCCAGTCTTCTTTTGAATGAGTCAATGGAAGGTGCGGATATCACTGCTTCGATTAACAGGTTCCCAGAATTGATGACCTCTCAATCTGAGGTAGGATAGAGTAAACAGGTCTAGCATTTCAAGCTGCCCTTCATGTGGTAAGCTCCAGAGTTCTGGAGTTGCACAAGTCGCTGTCTCTATGCTTCTTCCAGGATGTTCGAGTCACCTTTGAGGAGATACTTGTTGCCTGAATACAGTTTTCGTGATTGAAAATCATGACTCACTGTAACCCGAAGATCCATGTGAGACCAGACTAAGGGTACAGGCACTTCCCTTATGATGTAACAAATGAACTTTGTACCCACAATGTGCATGTAGACACAATTCGCCGTGTTGATAGACATCAGCCACTCTTTAGACCAGTTAACCACAATATTTACGTCTGCGTGAAGTACGTAAGCACCAGATTTTTACATCGTCAGCGTGCAATAACATTGGCGACTCAACTATACTTGAGATATCATTTAGATACAATATAAAAAATAAAAGACCTAGTACAGAACGTCGAGGTACTCCACTAAGTACTGGTCTTGAGGTAGAGCACTTCGAATTCTTACATTCTGTCTACGACCTACAAGAAAATCCTTAAGCCATTGTAGTAAAGGTCCGGAAATACTAAAATTTTCCAGCTTTAATAGCAGTCTGTTTGTTGGTACCTTTTCAGATGCTTTAGACAACATCTACTGATTTTCCACTGTCTAGAGCCTTTATCTGTTTCTCCCTTGTTATAAGGAGGTTTGTTTTGCAAGGTAAACGTTTTCTGAAACCATGTTGTTTGCTGTTTAGCAAGTTTTAGCGGTAAATAAATCCCTAAAATAAATAGTTCTGTAAGTTTTCGACATTGGACACTGACAAGATTGTTTTTAGTGGACTCACCTAGTTGAAGCCTCTCGGTCATGCATCCGCACCAGATCACGTGCTCAACTACTACTGCAACCGCTAGCCAGATTAGATCAGATAATTCCGATATATTGGCGATCGTCAAATACAACTTCTGATCTCATCGATTCTGTCTTTTGATTTCTCTTGGTGGGTACGAGTTATATAAGGAGGTGTTACTGGTGAAAGCGTTGTCAAACACTGAATACCTGTGCCGTCTTCAAAGTTGTTGGTTTCCACATATGTTATTGTAGTGTTAGTCATAAGTTTTAGCCCATAATATATCTTATTCTAGTTTCTGGACATTTCATTCTATTCATTCTGCTTGAGTCATATTTTGACCTTGTTAATTATTCACTTATTAGCCTTGACTGTTTTCATATGAGCGTGTGTGTGTACACTTCATGTCCCGTGACTCATCACATGTCTGTAGTTTATTTTGTCTGCCTATAAATATTGAGTAATGCCTAGCTTGAAATGGAGTTGGCTTCCCAGCCATCTTCCATACAATCTGGAGTCAGATAACGGGCCGTCTCATTATTATGATTTTTTTGACAATTCTTTCCAGTATTTTAGTTGCAACACTGGCCAGGCTGACAGATCTGTAGTTATATGGACGTTGTCTTGGTCCTGTTTTATGTATTTGAGTGACAACTGCATCCTTCCAGCCCGTAAGTAATGCGCATTGTCCAAGTGACATTTTGAATATCACAGTTAGTGGGGCTGCAACATGTTATGCAATATTTCTCGGGGTTTTGGGGTGTAGTCCACCCGTTTGTGTTGACATTTTCGTGTCTAAGGTGATAAGAGCCTTAAGTACATCGTCTTGATCAACGTCCACGGTAAGCAGACGCTTTGTTGACTTTGTTTTTGGTCTAGTTCTTCGTCTAGGACAGGCTCATGAGTGAAAAATTCCCCACAATATTCTGTCATAGCCTCTGCTTTTTCCCGATCATCCTCTATCATATCAGATCCACCCCCTTCCGTAACTAAGTTGTGAATTCAATACTGAGTCGTTGTTTTGTAATTTATGTGGAAGAATAGTCTCTTAGGCTACTTGATCGCAGATTGTGTTGACTGCATTTCATAATTTCCCTGAGTTTTCCGAGTTTTAATTATACATATATTTCCTACCGTCCTGTAGCATTCCATATTACTTGCTGCCTCAAGGCTGATAACAGTGTTTCAACATTCCTTCTTTTTCTTTGTAAATGTCGAATATCCCTGCCTATCCACGGATGGCCGTGCTTCTTCTTCGAGACTGCCCAGGGTATAAATGGTTGAGTAAACTGATTGTGTAACTGCTTGAATTGAGTCCATGCCTCTTCTGTTGATGCCCCCGAGTCAATTATCCAGTTTTTATTCGATGCTACAAAGGTTGTCGCCTCAACGTATGACTTTTATATATCAGGACGTGCCAATGCAACTGTTTGACAGGGCATCTCAGCCATGAACTGAAAAACGTTGGCTGCATGATTATTTCTCTCTAGAGGTGGGAGGAGAGTCATTTGACCGACACCATCACAGTGTGTGAAGAATCCATTAGAAACGAGATTTTTAAGTCATACCTGATGGGGTCTCTAATATGCCGGAACAAAGCTAGTGCAATTGTGGTTTCTAACAATTTGCAATGCAATGTTGTTACTGACCCTACTAAGTTTACGCAGTTCATATACGATGCATTAAAGTTGTCTACTATAAGTCTTCTACCCTTATTACACCAGGATTTAAGTTCGCTCAGGAGGAAGTCACCTACCACACATTTCGGACTGTGATATACTACAATAAATTCAACATATTACCATAAACATTTCAGCCTGCAACACACCAGTTCACCTGTTCCTGAATCATGTGCCACTATCTCAAAAGCCCGTATGGTTGAGGTGATTTTTGTGTACAGGATAACCCCACTTCCTCTACGGTTTAGTCTGTCATCCCTACTGAATAGAAAGCAGTCAACTGAATTTCATTATGAAACACTTCTGACGTTAACCATGTTTCTGAAACAACAATGACATCCGAGTTTTTTTATATCCCTTACTGTCATGAGCTCCCGCATTTTATAGTGTAGGTTTCGAACATTTTTATACCACAACTTTAATTGTGTGCATAACTTTCTAATACCTACCAGAGTGATTTAGGGATCTTTTTACTTCGAACTTTTACGATATGAAAAACCTTAAGTACGAAACTTGTTTCACCGTTTCCATGGAGCTCGCTTATTTCTGCTTCTAAATATCATGTCTCAATATGATCAACGAGGTTGAGATCCTGAAGGATGTATGTTCCGGATGCAACCAGCTTTATATTGTTCAGAACCGTAATTTCACAGCATTGAACCTTATTGACCATTTTTAACTCGCTCGTATCTGTGCCTTGTCATCTAATCCATGTTAGGTGACTCAGAAACAAATTTACGACAAAACAATTGACAGCCTGACCAAATATCTGAGACACATGTTACGCTCATCTAGATTTTACAACGAATTACCTGATTTCATTTGTTTTAAAACATAATTATGTCTATTGATCCCATGATCTATTCATGCACATCTATGAGAAGTTTGCGGCTCATCAATTAACAAGGCATAAATGTGTCACGTTCAAGCTTTTGCTCGTTTCCTTTATTGAAGTGCGATATGTCGATCTATTTGCAATTCACGAACCCAAATTAACAACAGAACCAAATTCCAATTAAACACCAAAGTTTATCCGCGATTTACAAATAGTCGACCCAAATGTCGTTCTATCGACAATAATTGTAACAATTACAAAACAAACCTTCAATTTTGTAGATTCCTGGAGCAAAAGCTCCCAAATACCAAACCAAAAACAAAGAAAAACCAAAATGTCTGAAAATAATGATATAAACAAGCAAGTTCATACAAAGTCCAAACGTGTATCGTATTTGCGGTATGATCACACTGATTTACAAGACGAGTGGTTATGATCACTACAAGATCTCAATATCTGTCGACAAGATCGATCAAGCAATGAGAAACAGTGTGGTGGTGGTGTAGCTACATTTGTAAACATGAACTGGCATGTTCCAAGTTTTTAAACGACTATTTAAGGTGCCGTCCAAAACACTTGAATCCCAACTGTACATCATCTGCACTATCTGTTTTTGCTAATGAATACACTGAACTTGGTGTTACTGCCTTCAGTGATTCACTTTGAATTATATGTGACAATTTTAACTCATGTGATTATATCTTTCTTTCATCATTAAATAACCAAAATGCAGTTGATTTTCCCTCTCGTCTGAATGCCCATTTAGATTTAGTTTTCATTGATGATGTGCGAATATACATGACTTAAACGTGCTTCAAGGTCTAGTTCTATTCATTTTGTGATTTGTGTTCTACCTAAAATATATGAAAAACTTGAAAAGAGCACACACTTACATCAGACAAAGATAGTCAAATATAAGAATTACTCAAAAGAAAATATCAAAAGTCTGTTGTGGTTCCCAAACAAAAGGAGATTATACAAAATATATTGATACACTAGGTTAATAATGATATACCAAAAATTAATAGTAAAGAAACCTAGATGTCTGTCCGTTAGTAAAACCAAAGGTAACAAAATACCGTTAGCAATACAAAAAGTATATTAAACAAACAGACACTAACAGTTACTATAGAATGAATGTTGCTTGTGAACTTCCTCGTGAGAACAACGACCACAAACTGAGTTCACTTGATTGACAGGTGTTCCTCTGCAAGTGACTGCACCAATGATCTATGAGGAAGACGGAGTCCAATAGTATTATACAATAGTAATCCCCGCCAAAAGTCCAACGTTGCGTCGGAAGGCCTATAATGATGTTATATTACTATTATAGTCTTCAATCAAACGGTGGCCAATAAAACAGAAGAACAACTGGCGCAGATAGTGTTCTATATTTTAAAAAACGCGGTAGTTGAATCGTATATCATTCATCGAAACAATTATCATCGTCTTTTTTAACAAGTGATACAGCAAAACAACAGAT